GGGAAGCAAGCCCCAAGTGCCGGGAACACACGGAAGGGGGGGGGGAGGCCAGACGCCGCCCTTGCGGAGGGAGCGAGAGGCCGGGGGGAGGGGGGGCGGGGGACAGGGATGAAATTCTCCGTGCCCCCCTTCCCTTCCCGCCTTCTGCACCTCTGCCCACACGGCCCTGGAGAAAAGCCCCCATCCTGACCGCCTCACGCTAGTGGATTGCCCAAACCCCACAACAACCGCCCGCCTCCCCTGAGATCCCTCCCTCGTTTGCTGCCCCACCCCCTGTCTCCCTTCCTCTCCCTCCTCCCTCGCTGTCCGCCGCATTTCTCACGCTGTGCCCTAGCGCCGGTGCCTGTCCCAACTTCAGTTGCGCCCGCACGCCCGCACGCCCGCCCGCCCGCCCCCCAGCCACGGCCAGCACCCTTGTCCTTGTGTGTGAGTGAGCCTCCAAAAATTTCACCCACACTCTCGCTGTTTGGCCTTCTGCCCGAGCCCAGCCATCCAGCCGATCTCAGATTTCAGCGCCACAAACGGCGCTTTTTGTTCGACAGACAGCGCGCTCGCACCAAACTAAGAGGCCACCAACACGCAGCACCTCGCATCCGCCTCGGCTTGCTGGTTCGCCTGAGCCCCCGCCTGCTTGTCCAGGACCTGTTCTTCGTCCCCTTTACCCGCCATCTGTACGTCCTTCCCCGTGTCGCCTCTCCTTCTTGTGCCGGCCAATGGCCGACCCTGGAGCGAAGTCGGCCCGGGCAGCTTGGCTGTGTCCTCTTTCCCCCCCCCCCCCCCCCCGCCACACACAGGCTCTGCCTGTATTCCTTTGACTGGCTGGGCAGACATGCAGGACGTGCTAACCGATGTTCCCTTTGCCTTGCCTCACCCGTGCTGCGGTGTCGCCGCGACGTGCTACCCTACGCCGGCGGTGGTATGTGACCGAACGCCTGCGCCCGAATCCATATTGGCAGAGCAACTCCCCTTCAAGCGTGAGATCCCCCGTTGATGGTGTGAAATATTGCTCCCTTGTACACACCGACATCACACACACGCACGCACGCACACACGCACACACACACGCACGCACGCACGCACGCAACTTCGTGTGTCCCTGCCGAGCGCCACTTCGCCGGTCCCCTTCGCCACTCCCTTCCCAACCACCGTGCGCGCTGGTCGGCAGCAATGGGTCTCCACTCAAAGTACCCCACCTCCCCGCCGGGGAGGCATGCCATTGAGGAGACGCCCTCGCACTCGTCGCGTCCCATCGATCAGCACATGGGCTTCTTCATGGCAACTCGCAGCGACTCGTGCGTCAAGTGGCTCATCAGCACGTACAGCGGGGCCAGTGGGCGGATGCACAGGGTGCCATACCTTTGGGCGGCGGGGGGAAAGGGATGCGGGAGGCCGGAAAGGAGAAGGCCCTGCGGGGAGGGGCAAAAAAGAAAAAGAAGAAGAAAAGACGCTCGCAGACCGTCCTTCGAGTGTGGGACTCCCGAGGGGCCGGGAGTTCGCCCCTGGCGGGGCTTTTTTTTTTTTCGCTGCTCTTGGCAGGCCGGGACCCGGGGCGGCGGCAGGCCCAACTCTCGAGGGCGTGCACTTGCTAACACCCGAATGTGTCGTGTGTCCGGGGGTGTTCAACTGCTGCCGCTGCATGCGCGTGGCCCTCGACCGGATACGGTGGGGGACTTAGGCAATCGTGCACGGCGCCGACCGAATCCGACTCGGCCGACTCCCTGTGCCACAGTTCCGATGAGGAATGCCAAAGCCCGACCACCGGCGGGGGGGACTTCTATGACCTGAGCCTCATCAGCACGGCCGAGTTGGAGCAGCCGTTCGCCATGCGGACGGCCTCCCAGTCGGCTGGCCCGAGCAGCCCCTTTTACCGGCAGTCACCATGGCCAGCGGCACCGATGGAGCAGCAGCAGCAACAGCAGCAGCAACAACAACAACAACACCAACAGCCCCAGCACCCGGGGGGCTCGACTCGGCCGGGCCTCGGCCCAGCGACCGACCAGCCGGGGAAGGCTCAAGCCGCGGGCGGCGGGGGGCCGTCCATGGTGGCCTCTTCGGCCGGCCAGCCGGCCGAGCCTCCCACCGAGGCGGCCTCAATCCGGCGACGCTTCCTGGCCTTGCACATTGACGAGGCGCTGGAGCTGTCGCGCCTTGCTGACCTGGAGCTATCGCCCCCGGGCATGAGCGGCTCCGGCAAGAAGGAGCCCGGCTGCCCGCCGGGCGGTTCGTCCTCCAGCGGAGCCGGGCCCGCCAGCAATGGGTCCTCATCCGGGGGGATCCCCCTGTATGCGGGAGCCGCCTCGGAGGATTTCCCCCCGACGGTGGTCGGCCGCGAGGCCATCTACCCGGCGGGCCTGCTCTCGGGCCTGCCCCCGATGGGGCCCACCCGCGGGCGGGGGGCTTTTGCCCCGGCATCGCGCCCGCGCGTGTCCATCCCCGCCGGGGCCGGGGCCCTGGCCCCGGGGCTTTTGGCTCTGGGCGGGGAGCTGACACCGACGCTCTCCGACGCCGAGGCATACTCGTGCTACTCTTCGGAGGATGTGGCCACCACCTCGCCGTACGGCATCTCGCCCCTCTACAGCCCGGTGGCTCCGGTGGCCGGGGGCAGTGGCTACGAGCTGCCGGTGGCCAGCACCGGCGGACGCCCGCCCATGCACCGCAGTGCCCCCGGGCGCCTGAGCCAGTCCCTGGGGATGATTCTCCCTGGCGGCCGGGCCGCAGATGCCTCCAAGCCGACGGCCGACGGCCCCCAGGGCACCCTGGCCACGGATCCCCTGGGCCCGGGCTGGGGGACCCTCGCCAAGGGCCTTGTCCCCGGCTCGCCACTGGCGGCCGGCTCGGCCCCGGGCCAGTGCTCGCAAGTGCCGCCCGTACGTGTCGACTGCAGCACTTCTCTGTCCCCCTTGGCTCGCACGCGCATGTACACCCGCACGCGCCCGCTAACACCGATCCCCCGGGCCGCCTGCGCCCCTGTCGCTCTCTCGCGCTCTCGGATGCCTGGCCGCGTGGGGCTTGACAATGACAGAGCACCACCACCACCACCACCACCAGCACCGCCGTCGCTGCTGCTGCTGCTGCTGCTGCTGCTACTACGGCCACACTCGCCAGTCCCGCCGAGGACCATGGCAACCGGGCCTCCCTCCGGCGCCTGATGGATCTGGCCCCGGCCGGGGTGCGCCTGAGCCCGCACCGGTGCGACATGGCCATCGGCAGCGGCGCCCCGGAGGGGATGCTCCTGCCGGCATTCAGCAGCCCGGACATGCTTCCGGAGGAGGCACGCACCGGTCGCCCTGCCACTGGCGCCGGGGCCACCCCCGGGCCGCTGCTGTGGCCGGGTGCCCCGCCGCTGGCCGCCCTGTCGCCGGTGGTGACCGCCATCCATGACGCGGCCACCATGACGCGCAAGCGCTCCCACCAACTGGCCAAGGATTGCTCTCCGGCGGTGGTTCTGCTTGCCGACCCCCGGTGGTCGGGGCGTCTCGCGGCCGGGTCAGGTGTCAACAGCCGCGCCGCGCCGCTGGCCCGCTTCGACATCGACGAGGCGTGCGACTCGGCAGGCGTCGCCCGGCCCGCCAAGCGCCTCAAGCACACCCCCCCGACCGGGCGCTCGGGATAACCCATCCACCACCGCCCTTTGGTCTTGGCCCACCTCTCACCTCCGGCAGCAGGCCCCAAGGCGCAGCGGCCAGAGAAGTGACGAGAGGAGAGGGAAGGGGCGCAGGGCGGGTGGCGCAGGAGGAGGACGCCGGGGCCGCCGGGGCGGCTTGGGAGCAGACAGCAGCACCCCATGCGCGCCTGCGCCTCGCCCCTCCCTTCGTCCCTTTCGCCCGCCCAGCACCCCCCCCCCAGGGGGTAAGCACTGGCGCCCCGCCTCCTGCCCGGGCCTCAGACCCGTGCCACCCTCCTGCAGGCCCATCACCGCTTGAGAGTGCCCCGGGTGTGCGCTTCATCCACCAGGGAAGCCGGGGGAGGGGGGGTGGATGCGTACAGATCGCCTCCTCCCTGTGACATGGCTGCCCGACCACATCCTGGCCTCTGCCGCTCGGCCACACGCCCATCTTCCAGCCCGCACTTTGCCTTGAGACCGGGCGCGGACCTTGCCGGAAAAAAAAAACCACGTAGGCCGCACGGAAGTACCATGCGGCCCGGCACCTTGGATGCGACACCCGGCCAACCAGGGGCGCGAGGCCAGCTCCGCACCCCGCAGGCTCGATTGCTTCCGCGTCCCCCTACTCCGATCTCGGCCGCGCCAATCGCCGGCGGGGAGGGCGCCTCCACCGCCGCGGGCTCACTAGACTTTGAAGGGCCCTTGCCTTTCATGGGAAGGTGGAGCGCGAAAAGGAAGAGGGGAGGGGGGAGGTGAAGGCGCGCGCGCATTTCAATGGCCAAGCCTGGACTCGCATATGGCGGGACCGCACGTGCTCCCTTTCATGTGTATGTGTGTGTGTGTGTGTGTATAAGGCACCCACAACCAGGGTGGGGCATGGCACCCTCCTTGGCTCCTGGAACACAGAGCAACAAGAACCACCACCCAGGGGCAGAGAGAGGCAACGAAGGAGAAGGAGCTAGATAGATCGAGCGATGGCGGGAGAAGGAAAACACACGACCCACCCCTCGCTCGTCCCTCTGAGAGAAGAGAAAAGATGCTGTCGACTCCTCCTGCCCGCGCGTCCCCTTGCCCCTCCCCCCGGGCCAGCTTCAGCCCTGTGGCAGGGAGACAGAGGGAGACAGACGGTTTCCCTCCACATTGCTCCACTATTCTTCCCTTTGTTGCCCCGCCCCCCCCCCCCTCGCCCCCCGCCCCTCACCGAGGGCCTGATATGCCTCCGACTTATCCAGCCCGGAGCCTGGGGGCCCGCCAGGAGAGCCCCTCTTGCCCCCTTCCCCCTCCCCACTTCTTCTTCTCCCTCTCCTGCATTTCCCTCGTTCCTAGATATATCCATGCCGCAGGATATGAAAAAAAAAACACCCCATGATTCTTAGAAATAGCGGTGCCCCTCCCCCCCCCCCCCCCCCCCCCCGTCTCTCGCCAGAATATAAAATGCAAAATTTCTCCAAAAGACGAGCCTGTGTAGTGTTCCTGGGTGGGCTTTGCGCCCGCCCGAGAAGAGATCGGACAAAGCAAAAGAAGGGATCCGAGAGACGCTCCCAAAGACAGAGACTAGATAAGTGGAGGAAGGCGGCGGAGGGGGAGCCAAGACCCGACCCCCCCCCCCCCCCCCTCCCCCCCGGTCACTGAATCGTACAGGGACGGGAGGGGCAGGAAAGGGGAGAGCTGTGCACAGCCTACTTCTTCTTGGACTTCTTCTTGTCGCCGGACTCGGCCTTGGGCGGCGGCATGGTGAAGGTGTAGTCGAGCTTGCGCGGAGTCATAATGTGGGAGACCATCTCGTCGGTGATCTTCTTGCGGCTCTGAAAAATGCAAGAGGCCGCGAGGGGAGGGGAAGAAAAAAAAAAGAGAGCGCGCGCGCGCGGGACAAGGGGGTGAGGGAAAGGGACATATGTGGAGCCGGGAAGCGACGGAATACACGCACCTCCTGGAACTCGGTGATGAACTCGGTCAGGACGTTGATGCAAATCTTCTTCAGCTCGCCAGTGAGCATCTCGCCGGAGCGGTATTTCTGGCCACATGCAAGAGGACGTGGAGGAGGAGGGGGGGGGGGGGGGGAAAACGTTAGACCCGAGCGAGAACCATGATGGGGATGACAAAAAAAAGCATGCAGACAGCAAGGCAGCCAGACAAAAGCAAACGGGCGCACCTTCTCAATGTCGGCCAGCTCCTCGTCGGACTCCAGGAAGTAGGTGAGGTAGTTGAAGGCGACATCGACGTCGGGATCGCCGCCAAGCTCGCGATGCTCCTCGACCGTCATGCGACCCCCGGAGAAGGCGTACTTGTTGATCTGCGGTGGGGTGAAAGGAGCCAACGGCACGGCGCGGAAGCGCAATGGTGAGCACAATGGTGAGCAGCAGCAGCAGCAGCAGCAGGAGCAGGAGCAAAGAGAGGAGGGGCATGCGAGGGGCTTGGTCGGCCGGGAGAGGCGAGCACATGCAGCACGCACCTTGTTCTTGATCTGGTTCGGGGTGTCGGTCAGGAAGATGGCCGAGGTCTGGGAGCTGGCACTCATCTTGGTGTTGAACCCCTGCAGGGCGGGGATGAACTTGGCATGGAGGAGCGAGGGCTTGTTGTACTTCAGCCGAGGCGCAACATCACGAGTAATGCGGAAGTACGGGTCCTGGTCGATGGCACAGGGGATCAGGCAGAAGGCCCGGCGGAAGACCGCCTCATCCTGGCCAAAGATGGCCGGGAAGGACGAGGCAAAGGAGGGGGCCGCCTGGATGGCAGGGAAGCTCCACTGGCCAATGTTGTGGCTGGGGGAGGGGAGGGGGG